TGTAAGGAGATGGAAGAACATACCATGTTCATGGATTGGTAGGATCAACATCATCAAAATGTCCATACTTCCTAAAGCAATCTATAGGTTCAATGCACTCCCCATTAAAATACCAACGACATATTTCACCGACCTAGAAAGAACTCTCCAAAAGTTCATTTGGAACAATAAAAGACCTCGAATAGCCACAGCAATCCTGAGAAAGAAGAGTAAAGTAGGAGGGATCTCAATACCAGACTTCAAACTATATTACAAAGCCACTGTTCTCAAAACAGCCTGGTACTGGCACAAGAACAGACATATAGATCAATGGAATTGAATTGAAAACCCAGATATCATCCCAAATCACTATGCTCAATTAATATTTGACAAAGGAGGCACAAATATACAATGGAGTCAAGACAGTTTCTTCAATAAATGGTGTTGGGAAAATTGGACAGACACATGCAAAAGAATGAAACTAGATCACCAACTTACACCATTCACAAAAATAAACTCAAAATGGATACAGGACTTAAACATCAGACGGGAAACCATAAAAATACTAGAAGCATCCACAGGCAGCAAAATCTCAGACGTATGCCAAAAGAACTTCTTCACTGATACTACCCCTAGGGCAATGGAAGCTAAAGAGAAAATAAACAAATGGGACTACATCAAAATAAAAAGCTTTTTTACAGCAAAAGAAACCATCAACAAAACAACAAGAAAGCCCACAGTGTGGGAGAACATATTTGCAAATGATACCACTGATAAAGGTTTAATCTCCAACATCTACAAACAGCTTATACAACTAAATAAAAGGAAGATAAATAATCCAATTAAAAAATGGGTAATGGACCAAAATAGAACATTTTCAAAAGAAGACAGAAGGAAGGCCAAAAGGCACATGAAAACATGCTCAAAGTCACTAATTGTCCGAGAGATGCAAATCAAAACAACAATGCGGTACCATCTCACACCTGTCAGAATGGTCAACATCAACAAATCAACAAATGACAAGTGTTGGCGAGGTTGCGGTGAAAAAGGAACCCTCGTGCACTGCTGGTGGGAATGCAGACTGGTGCAATCACTGTGGAGAACAGTGTGGAGTTTCCTCAAAAAACTGAAAATGGAACTCCCATTTGACCCAGTAATCCCACTTCTAGGAATATATCCCAAGAAACTAGAAACACCAATCAGAAAGGATATATGCACCCCTATGTTCATAGCAGCACAATCTACAATAGCCAGAATTTGGAAACAGCCTAGGTGCCCATCAGCAGATGATTGGATCCAAAAACTATGGTACATCTACACAATGGAATACTATGCTGCCATAAAAAAGAAGGAATTCTCATCATTTGCAGCAACCTAGATGGAATTGGAGAACATCATGCTGAGTGAAATAAGCCAATCAATGAAAGAGAAACACCACATGACCTCAATCATTTGTGGATAACAAAGAGCATTATAAACTGATGAACCAAAAGATAGATATAGAGACAGTATATCAACAAGTAGACTGTCAAATTACAGCGGGGAGGGGAGGAAGATCTGGGGGAGATAACAGATCAACCGAAGGACTTTTATACATGCATATAAGTACAACCAATGTACACAAAACTCTGGGGAGGGAGGGGATGTGTGGGAGGGAGGGAGGGAGGGGGGCAAAAAAAATCAATAAAATATATATATAAAAAAATAATAAAATAAAAAAAAGACAAAAAAAAAAAGACAACAGATCTTACAGAATACTTGGGTTTTGTTCATTTTTAGTGCCCTTTAACATTTCATTCTGCCACTTTCTTTCCCTGCGTTCTCTCAAGGTGTTTAATGCCTGGCCCCTCTACTGCCCCACACTCTTTCCTGAACCAACCATCTAGTGGTACTTCCCTTCTAGTGGTCTTCTGTTTCCCCAACATCAACATTTACCTGTCTTAGTTCCATTTCCTTAAACACCTGGGAATTGTGTTAACATGATTGTTGGTTAGTATATTTCTGGGTTAATAGATCTTTCCTGGAAGCAAAGGCTTAATACAAAAAATTGGGGTATGTTTCTAGAATAAAACATACTTTAGGATGGGCAGCTTTGCACTGCTTCAGAATTATTTTCTAGAGGTGACTGTTTAATATTTGACTCTATTTCCAGGCAGAGTATAGTTAATAAAGATGTGTTCTTAGCAAAAACCTGAGGATTATAAAAGTGAGTGCAACAGTAATATTAAACATGTAATAATAGATTAAAAGGATTTTGTCTGCAAATAAATTAAGGCACAAATTGTCTAACAACACTACTCTGCTAGTAATTGTTGAAAGCCCATTGTCTGTAATAATGATGAACAAATTTTAGTATTCTTTCTTTTCATAATTTTAAAAGATTAAGAAGGATTTGATTTTTAAAGATATATAGAATTTACAGCTTACTTATATATACCTGGATTCTGGTGATGTCCATTTTGTAGAGATACTTTTTTAAAAAGGCATTCAATTTTAAAAATGTTAAATGTTATTTTCTCATGTTTAAAGTTATTCCAAAATAGAAATTTGGTAGCATTGTCTCCTCACAAGTAGTAGAAAATCATAAGCTATTTAAATCACTTACTCTTTATTTTTGGATTTCTCTATACTGTTTTCACTGTATGATTTAATTCCACTTCTCAAGACAGATATTGCTTCTATATATTTTAGTATGATTTGAAGCTTGATGAGAAAATGATTGAGAGAAATATAATATCATCAATTTTTAAGAAAAAATGGCTTCATTAATACAGTAATTTTATATTTTAAAAATAATTTTGAAAATCTTGGCATCACATAACTACTATATATATTTAATTATTATTAAGAATATATATATGGAAGTAATATCTATGTCTTGATAGGTGGAGGTAAGTCATACAGTGAAAACAGTATAGAGAAATTTAAAAATAAAGAGTAAGTGGATTTTAAACATGAAAAATAATGTACAGTTATAGGTTCAGAAAGAGGGGAAATTTTATGTTAATGATTACCAGATGGAAATATGTTTGGTTTGTTTGTCCTGGGATCACCTCTCCAACATGAGTTTACATGTTACAGTCCATTCTAATCAATATGCTAATTCCTATGATCCCTGAGAAAAGAGGAACTCATGAGGTGAGGCTCACAATTAACCTGACTCTGCCTGGGTACCACTTCCTGACCACAGCAGAGAACACTAGAGTCCAAACAACATGGAATTGCCGTTGGTATGAGATAGAAAAGATGGAGCATGGGGTAGCTTCAATGACTGGATTTTGAGCAAGTTACTGAGGAAGAGGAAATAGCCTACAAAAGAGGGCCAGAGTTGTACAGGGGTCCCTACAAATATTTTCTGAAGGCTAGATGGCAGATTGACTGTGCAAGATTCTCCAGGGCTTTCAAGAGAATGGCTGCTAAGGAATTTAGGACAGAACAGAACCTGGAGATGTTGGAGATCTAGCCCAGCCAGAGAAGAGAAATTTCTTTAAGACCTTGTGGTATCCAGCGAGATGACAGGAAGAACAAACCTTAACTTTAAGAACCATGCCTTAGAATAGGGCTTACTTTAGAACTGGTATAACAAAGCCTAAAATTGTGCTTGGAAAAAAAAAATCCCTGGGATAAATACTGTTTAAATGTTTTGAGTCTTACAAAGCTGAAGAGCTTGGAAACTATTTGGGATTCCCATAGATTTGTCCTAACATAGTAAAAACAAGCCTACAGAGGTTCAAACGGACCAGCCAGCGATGGCAACAACTATGGAAACAAAAATCAACACTCCTCAAAGGGAGATAATAGATTCCAAAATCTCTACGAAGTGTCATTGATGATGCCCAGTGTCCAGGGGTCTTGAAGTGACAGAAATAGAATTGTATGCCTTGGAAAACCCAAGCAACGTTATCCTTACAACTTCTACAATGGAGATAACTTAGGACAGATTTCATCTTAGAAGAAAAATTATAATTAAAAAAAAAAAAAAAGTATTTTGATAAAAAGTATATCATGAGGATTCTAGTACCCAAAAGTAAGTGGTCTCCAATGTGATTGTGGGCACTGAGGAATGATATACTTGGAAACTTGGGTTATTCATGAGAAAGCAGACCAGAAGACCAAACCTGCAGATGTCTGGTGGATTAAGGGGGATGGTGAAAGAAACTTGTAACAACACAAGAAATGTGAAGCTGTCTAATGCCAGTGCCAGTTGATGGAAATTTAAAACATAGCATTGCCGAAGCCGGTTTGGCTCAGTGGATAGGGCGTCGGCTTGTGGTCTGAGGGGTCCCAGGTTGTGGCTACATGGGGGGGAGGGGGACGGGTGCAAGAGGCAGCTGATCTATGTTTTTCTCTCATTGATGTTTCTAACTCTCTATCCCTCTCCCTTCCTTTCTGTAAAAAATAAATAAAATATATATTAAAAAAAATACATTTATTTAAAAGAAAATAAATATTGGTCAGTATTCAGACAAGCCAAATGATGTTAACACATGACACAACAGGCTCAACTTATAAATATAAGTGCTACATAACACATCTAAAGCCAGTTTTTATCCGTTGCTATAATTTCATTACACTAAAACTATGACTAGAACCCAAGCTTGAGAAAATGCTTTGCCTTCATAATAGTCTAGATGTATATAGTTTCAAAGAGCTGAAAAAAAAAAAAAAATCTCTAAGGCTTTTCCTGAGCACATTTCATTTGTGTTCAAAATAATTTCTGTGAAAATAGTTGTCATCAATACTTTAAGTTTTCCTCCATTCTGTATAAGGAACTTAGCAGAAATGGGAACAGGCAAAAGAATGAAAGGAAGACACACAATGAAAAAATATCAGTGTTTTAGCAGGAATGCAATGGCAATGAGACGGGATCTAGATGAATAAAGAAGGCAGAATAGAATTTACAAGTTAAAAGTTGCCAGAAACAGCTTAAATGACAGAACCCAGTTTGATGTGGGTTTGGCTATCGGATCACTATTACCATGTCACATATTTCTTCTGGACTACACAGAAAGCCCATATACCTTCCACTGCCTTGACCTTTTCCTCCAACTCTCTTTTCTTCTCTTCCTTTAGCATCTGCTCTTGCTCCTTCTTCTGCACTGCTATAAGAAGTTGACGTTCTTCTTCCTCCTCTTTGCGCTTCTGTTTTTCTATTCTGGTAATCATAGGAGTCTCCTGTGAGGAGCCAGTAAGTGTAGAGTTAAAATACAACAATGTAAGATCAGTTCTTCACTCTGAGTTAAGATTTTATTTTTATGAAATTCAATCTATTTAATAAATAATATTAGGTAGTTAGAGAATGTATAACATACTTCCAAATTTGTTTTTATCATCTAAAGAATATATATATGTAAACATACTAACATTAAAAAACACCCGAGATTTTAAAAAGGGTACAATGGTTTACGTAATTTGTAGTGTTTGGGAGGTAATACTATGAAAAATACACGTAACTGGAGAGGCAAATTGAAGCAGTTCAGAGACCTTTCTTACAGCTTTAATATTTGACAAAAGTAAAACCTTAAAAAGTATTGTCATCTAAGTAAAAGGATGAAAAATATTCACTAGACAGAAAACAGACTTAGAATTTAAAAATGTGCATCACTCTAAAACCCTTAACTTTTATACTTTTCTTTAGTAGTAAAACAAAATAAAATTAGGGGGATGGTAGTAAGGACCACTTTTTTTGCCTTAAATACACTGAGAATTTGCCTAAAGAATCTAATAAAAGAAAAGGTAAACACACACACACACACACACACAAACAGGACAATTACACTTTATTGAACATTTATTCTGTATATTTCCCAAAATAAATAATGTTTTGACTCACTAAGTCAGAGAAAAGGGATCTAGGGGACAGGGTCAGGGGGTTAACTGGGGACCAGATGCTGCTGCCCACTGCTCCCTGGTTGTAAGCCTCCTGGGTGTCTCAAGTTTGGGGGAAAGGGGGAATGAAGGGAGGGAAAGACAGGCATGCTTTCCCCTCCCCCCCCCAAAGATCTTTTCAATAGGAAGGAGATGTAAGACTCTTTATGCAGATAAATATTTAAAAGTTTCATACTATGGACTGTTCAAATAATTTTAATGTGAGGAAAAAAGTGAATATAGATTCCCATTTACATATGTCATAATTAAATACTAAAACTGCTGATTAAGCCGAAACCAGTTTGGCTCAGTGGTAGAGCGTCAGTCTGCGGACTTAAAGGTCCCGGTTCGATTCCGGTCAAGGGCATGTACATTGGTTGCGGGCATATCCCCCGTAGAGGGTGTGCAAGAGGCAGCCGGTCGATGTTTCTCTCTCATCAATGTTTCTAGCTCTATCTCTCTCCCTTCCTCTCTGTAAAAAATCAATTAAAACAAACAAACAAACAAACAAACAAAAAATAAAAAACAAAAAAACCCCTGCTGATTAAAATTTTGTTTCATTTTCTTTATAGAACTTAAAACTAGTTTTGACTCTCCATTTGATTCAGATTTTGGAAGTTGTCATGCCTAGATAGCCTTTGGTAAAGTAATTTTTATCATTTAAATTCTATAAGCCTAACTTAAAAGGAGTTTGCTATCCAAAAGTAAAATCTGGAATGAGAGGTAAAAATGAAACTAACAAAAATTAACCATTATTATTGCACACATAATACTGTACTCATAAGGAACCTCAAAACATAAATAGAATTAAAGTTCACCAAAATCTTTATCCTATAACTAGAGTAGATATGCTAGATACTGTTTCTGAAATGAGGATGGTCCTGGCATTAAGCAAGGACAATTCTTCTGAAGAATTGATCCTAATAGTCAAAAAAGTACCTTTGCTGCAATGCATGAGGTACCATTCCCTTTACCACATCTCTCCACGTCCTTATTTAGTCCAACTTTTAGGCAGAGTCTTTCCTCAGCTGAGAAGTTATGATGTAATTAGAGTTAATAAACCAAAGCAAACCAAAATAATTACTTTTGCTTCTTTCAGTCATATAGAGACTCCAAGCTGATACTACCTTCCTATATAATAGGTAATATGCAAATTAACTCTCATGCCCTCACAAGTAGCTGCCTAGGACCAAGCTGGCAGGGGGATTAGTGAGGGTCGACCAAATAGCAGGCTGCATGGGAGGCAGTTAGGGGTGATTAGGCTGGCAGGGGGGGCAGTTAAGGGTGACTAGGTAGGCAGGTGAGTGATTAGGAGTCAGCGGTCCAGGATTGTGAGAGGGATGTCCTACTGCCGGTTTAGGCCCAATCATCAGGATTGGGTCTAAATCAGCTGTTGGACATCACCTGAGGGGTACCAGATCGGAGAGAGTGAAGGCTGGGCTCAGGGGATCCTCACCCCCATGCACAAATCTCATGCACCGGGATTCTAGTTAATATATAAATTCATATGATGGGGGGAAAGTAGGAGACAGAGGAAAACTAAGTCGTGTCAAAGGAATTATTTCATTCAAAGAAACTACTACTTTCTATAAATGAGACACATAAAAAAGAAAAATGGGCACATATTTACATGTAACAATAATATGTGTGCATTCTGTGCCTCTATGATAAAAGGACAGATGGTGAAAACATTCTTCATTCAAAGAGTACAACAGGATATTAATAGGACCAAGAATTTTAATAAGGACTAAAGAGATGCAAGCCAATGACTCATGAATAGATATATTAAATCACCAGAATCACCTGGAAAACAACATGAAGACATTTCAAACTTTCAGTCAATGGAAGGAGAAAAAGGGAAAGAATAGATAACTATATAAATATTTACAATATACAAATTATTTTTTATTTTTAAAATATATTTTATTGATTTTTTATAGAGAGGAAGGGAGAGGGATAGAGAGCTAGAAACATCGATAAGAGAAACATCGACCAGCCACCCCCGACCCCGCACCTCCCCCCAACTGGGAATGTGCCCGCAATCAATGTACATGCCCTTGCAGGAATCTAATCTGGGTCCTTTCAGCCCACAGACCGACACTCTACCCTCTGAATCAAACCGGTTGGGGCTATAAATAATTTTTATAACAAACATGATTTATTATTCTTAGTATGTAATGATGTCTTACAAACAGTAGCCATCCCCGAACAAACAAAACATATAGAAGATAACTAAGCCATCCACATCAATGATTAAAAGGGAGAGCACAATACAATCGCTTTTTCACTTACAAAATTGTTAAAAATGATACAAAGCAACACATTGTAAAGGCTGGTAACCATGTCTTCTGGAGGACAATTTGTACATATGTATCAGGAACTTATAAAGAGTACTATTTATAAAATGAGATAAGCAAAAAAGTTTTTGTGGTAGATTAATAGGTGATATTATATACTCAACACAACCAACAAAAATTTCATTTCTACCCTGGCCAATGTGGTTCAGGAGTTAGTATCTTGCCGAAACTGGTTTGGCTCAGTGAACAGAGTGTCGGCCTGAGGACTGAAAGGTCCCAGGTTCGATTCCGGTCAAGGGCATGTATATTGGTTGCGGGCATATCCCCAGTAGGGGGTGTGCAAGAGGCAGCTGGTCGATGTTTCTCTCTCATCGATGTTTCTAGCTCTCTATCTCTCTCCCTTCCTCTCTGTAAAACATCAATAAGATATATTAAAAAAAAAAAAGTTAGTGTCTGCCCATGCATGGAAAGGTCATGGGTTCAATTACCAGTCAAGAGCAAATACTTGTTTTTTTGCAGGTTTGATCTCTGGCCACGTTGGGGCAAATGGAGGGGGCAACCAACTGATGTGTCTCTCTCACATAGACGTTCCTGCTCTCTCCCTTCCACTCTCTAATAAATGGAAGATTAAAAAATGGTGGTAGTAAGTGGAAATTACACTGATAGTTTCTTAGGACTATACTGGAAATACAACTAAAATACAGGAAAACCACCCTGAAAAATGATCTTAAGACCAGCTGGAGAGAACCCTGACAACCAAGGAGGGAAAGTGGAGAAAGCACAGACTAGTAGTAAGTGCAGAGGCATGGAAGGGCTAGAAGAGCTCTCACAGAAAACTCTGTGGTCTAAACCCAACCTGGGCTCCCCAGCCCAAAGCACCAAAACTGAGAAAGGTGACCATGTAACATCTGTGTGTGAAAAACAGCAGAATTGCTGTCTGCCAGTGAGAAACTGCTGGAAATGCAGACGCCCTCTTAAAGGGTCAACACAAAAAATTTCATGTGCAGCCATTCACCTTGGGTTCTGGCAGAAAAGACTGGAGCTCTCTGAAGAGACTCCAATATTAGGGGCCTGGGATTGAAGATTGGAGGGCAGCCATCCAAGTTTTCTTTGCTGGTGGACCTTTGCTATCTAGGTGGTTTTGTCTGAGGGTAAGGCACCCCACCTGTGGTCTATAGCATGAGGCTAATCAAAACTGAGTGTTCATTGGACTGCAGGCAGAGGAGGATCTCCAGAGGCTTTGAGTCTTTGCCTGATCTCCTTCTGGACCCAGGACTAGGAAAAGCAGACTCTAATGCACATCTTGGTCTTTGCCAAAAACAACTAGTCCCAGCAGCGGGAGCCACAAGCTGTGGATTGCTGTTATCCATAAAGAGGGTACTCAGAGCCAGTCACAAATAGCTGCTGAGATTGTCATGCACTAGAGATTGGGAGTCATAGCAGACCTAACTAATACATAGACACAAACTCAAAGAAGCAGCCATAATGGGGAGACAAAAACAACAACAGCCAAACCAAAGAACAAGAGAATTCTCCAGAAGAAGAACTAAATGAAATGGAGATATCAGAAATAGAGTTCAGAATAATGATGGCAAGGGTGGTCAACAGCATTAGAAAAGATACAGTGACTATGAAGAATAACATAGCACTAATAAAGAAAAAGCGGGAGGAAACAGATTAAGGGAAGCTGAGGATAGGATCAATGAAATCACTCAATCAGAGAACCAAAAGGAAAAACTAAAAAACCAGGACAGCCCTAGCTGATTTGGTTCAGTAGATAGAACATTGGCTTGAGGACCAAAGCGTCCTGGTTCAATTCCAGTCAAGGAACACGTACCTCAGTTGGTTGTAGGCTCCTCCCTGGCCTGGGCCTGGCAGGAGGCAACCAATCAATGTGTTTCTCTCACGTCGATGATTCTCTGTTTTTCCCTCTCTCTTCCACTCTCCCTAAAAGTCAATAAAAAAAAAAAAAATCCTCGTTTGAGGATTAACAAAACAAAACAAAATAAA